AAAGTCCTGATAGGCTCTTGTACAACTGTGAACACTGATCACAAGCAAATGCTTACAGATGGCAGAGGAAGAATTATCTAAAGAAATACATAGAAATAAAAGATCACACTCATCAATAGCAGGGTTCAAGCTACAAAATCATGGATTAAACTCAGACTGTGCTGTAGGTTGAATGCACTTTGTCCCAGCAAGACTTAATTTACCAGTATTGAAGCATGGCCTTTGAGAAGGACTAGAGGGCCAGCAAAATGGCTTTGTGGTAAATAAGCTTGCTATGAAAGCCTGAGGACGCAAGTCCAATCCTCGCACCCAAGTAAAGGCAGAAGGAAGGAACCAACTCTAGAAAGTTGTCCTTTAACAATCACATACATGCTGTTGCAAGACTCCCCACCACACACACTCTTACCATGAAGCCAGAAGAACCACACTGGGATCTGAACAAATGTTACTAGCCATTATTGAAGACTCTACTTCTAAAAGTGCAAACTAAGCAAGCTTATTCTTTTCAAAGTATCCAATGCCAGGTATGTTGTTACAGCAGCACAAGATGTACTAAGACTTTCTGCAACCCTGTTTCTTTAAGTGATGAGATATAGAGACAAGAAGGTTATTGTGTTGATTGACATACTCTCCTTCAAACACCTAACCTTGGTAGCAATAGGTTAAGATGTCTGTATTAGAAAATACAAAATAATAACAGCTCAGCTACATGTAAAGAAAGCTGAAGATAGGTCTTGGCATGCCGATTGTTTAAGATCATAGGAAGACCAGGACTTTTCTTCTGGCTCTGGCAACTGAGAGCCAGATTGCATCTTCAAAATAATCTAATAGCACAAAATAGTCCCACTGAAAGTGTCAGTGCAATCAGCTGACTGCTATGTTGCCTTCAAAGTCATGTTCTGCAACCCTAACTCTCTCCCCACGTAGTCAGCACTATTAGGAGATGAGCCTGTAGGCGGTGAACTGGTCATAAGAGCAGAGGCCCTCTGAATGGGATTAGTGCTTGTCTTAGGGTTTCTGTGCTGCAATGAAACACTATGACCAAGGCAACTTCGGGAAGAGTTCATTTCAGCTTACACTTTCAGGTGACAGTCCATCACTGAGAGAAGTCAATGTTGGAACTCACACCAGGAAGGAACCTGGAGGCAGGAGCTGATGCAGAAACCATAGAGGGTGCTCCTTATTGGCTTGCTCATCATTGCTTTGCTCAGCCTGCTTTCTTATAGAACGCAGGATCACCAGCACAGGGAATAGCACCACCTACAATGGGCTGAGCCCTCCCCCATCAATCACTAATCAAGAAAATGCCTTACATGCTTGCCTACAGCTGTATCTTATGGAGGCCTTTTCTCCACTGAGGCTCCCTCCTCTCTGATGACTCTAGCTTGTATCAAGTTGACATAAAGATAGGATAGCCAGGACAGTTCCCATGACAGTTACCTTTCAAAAAAGATACCAGATATCTCACATTCATAAGAAGATGCAGTGAGAAAAGAGTTGGCTATGTGGCCCTTCCCATACATGGAGTCTGACAGAAACTTGATCTTGGGTTTTGCAGCCTGCACACACTATAAAGAATAACTTTTTATTATTTATAAAGCACTAAGTGTTTTGTAAGTCGTGATAGTTTCTTATAGTAGCCTCAATAAACTAAAACAATGGAGGAACGAACAGGTAAGGAGCATCCTAGAAGCTTTCTGGAAGTCCTTCCAGCATCTTTGTCCCAACTCATTAGCTAAAGTTTGGTTATGGGTCAAGGAATACAATAGACATCCACATAGCTGTCATCAATCAAATGAGTTCTGTTAGTAAAGAGAAAGAAAGCTTGGGTGTTGGTAGACACCTGGCAGGTCAGTTGCTGGTACTGCTGCTGTTGTTGTGGGTGTATCAATGAATGTGAATCTTTGCTGGATGGTGGTGGCATATACCTTTAGTCCCAGTACTCAGGAGGCAGAGGCAGGAGGATCACTGAGTATGAATCTAGCCTGGTCTACAGAGCAAGTTCCAGGATAGCCAGGGCTAGCCAGAGAAACCCTGTCTTGAAAAACCAAAAATAATGGTTAAATAATTAAGTAAATAAATGTGAATATTTAAAATGTCCTCCTGGGGCTGGAGGAATTGGCTAGTGGCTAAGAACACGCACTGACAATGACCCAAGTTCATGTCCCAGCACTGATGTGGAGGTTTGAAAGAAAATGGGCCCCAAAGGAAGTGGCACTATTAGGGGGTGTGGCCTTGTTGGAGGAAGTGTGTGATTGTGGGGTCTGGCTTTGAGGTTCTTTTGCTCAAGCTTCATTTGGTGTGACAGTCAGTTGAACTCCTGTTACCTGCAAGATGCTGTGCTCTGAGTTCCAGAATCATGTCTGCCTACACGCTGCCACGCTCCCCGCCATGACTACAATGGACTGAACCTCTGAAACTAAGCAAATCACTCGAAGTACATGTTTTCTTTGTAAGAGTGCCATGGTCATGTTGTTTTTTCACAGCAATGAAAACCTAAACTAAGACAGATGGCTTACATCCACCTGTAACTCCAGCTCCAGAGGGTTCAGTGACCTCTTCTGGCCTCTATAGGTACAAAACCACAGAGAGACACAAGTATACATAATTTTAAAATTAAAAATAAAAAATTTTAGTGTGCTACTCTGGCGCACGATCAGTGAAGTGATACGATAATTTCAGCCACCACATGTCAGAGCTTACGTGTTCCTCCGTGTACGCATGAGTGCCACCCAACCAAAGCTGTACAGAGAGAGTTGAGATGAATTGTTTCAATGTTGCTTCTTAGAAAATATTCTTTCAGTCCCAACAGCTGGCCATCATTCAGTCATTAAACAATTATTTATCTAGTATCTAGACCAATACTCAATGTCAGGAGCATGAGTTTCGGTCTTCCATGAGATAGAAGTAGCCAATTAAAGGTCACATATGGTGTGGTTGGATGTCCAGAGCACATGGCAGTGACAGGCTCAGAGGGTGAACTCCAAGAGCTGATCTGATAATGACGAGTGGTGGAAACACAGGTGACGAAGAGCTTGGAGTGGGGTGGTCCAGTAGACCCACGGTGTCGAAGAAAAACTGCTACGCAGTGGGCTCACAGAAACCTCGGTCCCTATGGCATCACCTCACACATCCCCACAGGGCAAACCCCAGTCACTGCACACTGACCTGACTTTCTGATGTGGCCAGCATCGTTCAGGCTCAGTCATGTGAACAAAGTGGACACCTGAGATGGGTGCTTCAAATTTAAAGCAAAACTTAGTTCAAGAACCAAGGTAGTGTGACTTGGTTTTGCTTTCCAGATGGGTTTTTTCTGGGCGCAGCCCTGGCTGTCCTAGAACTAACTCTGTAGACCAGGCTGGCCCCAAACTCCCTGAGACCTGCCTGCCTGACTCCTGGCCATGCACCACCACCACCCAGGATTTGCCTTTCAATTCAGTTTGACTTAAAGAAGAAATCCTCTTCCTCCAAAGGATAGAGACGCCTACAACAACACTGGCAGCACTATCACAAGATGAATGCAAACCAACTCCATAGTGACCCCTTGACAGGTATACTTTGTCTAGAGATGGTGTGAGGATTAATCTTCATTTCCATTTAGAGTCACCATGGAAACAGGTCTTTGGGTGTGTCTGTGAGGGATTTCCTTCATTAAGTGAGAAACTCCATCCTAAATGCGGTCCATGGGTGAGGATCCCAAACCGAGTAAAAAGGAGACAGCGAGTTGAACCCCAGCATCTGTTGCTCCCTCAGCCCCCTGACTGTGGACACAGTGTGATTAGCTCCCTCCTAGACTTGACGCCATACTTTCCCTGCCATGACAGGCTATACCTCCTGGAGCTGTAAGTCAAAGTAAACCCTTCTTTGCTTAAAGTTATTTGTGTCGAATATTTTGTTGCAGCAACAGAGCTAGTAACTGACACAGATGACATGTTCTTTATACTATACAGAGACAATTAAAATTACCGGCCTTTACATTTAAATTCTGAACCCAAGGTAAAAGCACCTCCCTGCATGGCTGCATTTTGACATTCCTAAAGCCATTGTTTATTAAATAAAAATTCCAGTTCCAGGTGTAGGACATCTCCTTATGAGTTGTTGGAGGTCATAAAATCCCCCTCACTGAGAAATGATACCGGAAGGTGCAACATGAGCTTCTGGGAGAGAGAAGGCAGTCACAGTCTTACCCAGCTGTAAACCTTGCAAAGCACACTGCCAACTCACCAGGCAGAGCAGGCCTCCGGGCACAAACTAAGTGGCACTTCTGCTGTGGGAGCAACCAGCTGCTTTCTGGTTGGACACAAGAGCCATGCCCTAGGCAGGATATTTATGCTCAGTTCTGTGAACCTGCTTAAATACTCATGGCTGTGGAGGTCATGGGCCCTAGGGGGATCTTACTACCACTTGGCTAAATAGACATGCATCCAACTGCCTTGCAAATTCCGTTTATACCCATAAGCAAATGCTGTTCTCAGCCTTAATCCGAGAAGCTTTACTTGGCATTGAACGGTGATGGACGCTAAGAAGAAGGAACTGCTGAGTGGTCAGCTCTAAGCAGGACATTTGTACCAACTCCTCTAGGGAAGAGAAATAGTGTGAAAGCTGGCAAACACGGACTTTGGAGCATCCCAGCGCCATTACAAACATGCTCATGGCAGCTGCCTGCACGAGACTGGTCTGTCAACAGTCACTTACGGCCTATAGGGAGGACCATGGAGCCCTCTCCCTTCCTGTTGGACCATCGGCCAGTGACCGGCTGAGGGAAGGACAGTCATTGCTTTTAGTTGTGTGCCCATCAGTGAACAGAGTCCACCAGGTCCCTGTGAATGGTTCCAATCCCACAGTCCCTTTAAAGTCAGAGAGTCAGTGTGACGCGAAAGGGTAGAGTTTGAGAAAGAGACTTGTAAGGAGGAGGGGAGAACGGTGGGGAGGAGAAAGATAGGGAGGAGGATAATGCATTATATATGTGAATATGATCGTCAAGGAAAAAATTTAACCAATAAAAAGAAAATACTTTTAAAAATAATAACAAAAACTGAAACAAAAAGGGATACTTTTGTCTCTGTTCTTAAAAGCTATTTCTACAGACAAGTTTTAACTGTTCATAAATTTTCAGATACCAGCCCTTTTAGAATGTGGGGGCTTGTGCCTCCCAGGCCAGAATGTTCAGAAAAGCAATACCTTGTTGATCCCTGTTTTTCTTACATCCAATAAGTCATTTTTATTGCCTTCCCTCCCCCATAAATATTTCAAACATATCGTCTCTTCTTAATCCTGCTGCTGTTGCTTGGCTCAAGCCTTCTAAACCTCTTACCCAGGGCAGCAATTACCTCCCCAATTACTTCCCCGCCTCTCTCTTCTCCTGATCTCTCCCAAACACTGCCACTAGAGTGGTATTCCCCAAAGGAAAATGGGGTGATTTCATGAAACACCCCAAGCCCTCCCCTTTCAGAGGAATCTCAAAGTGAGGTGTCAACGGCCCTTCTCAGCCTTGTCACTCCTGCTCCCGGCCTAATGTCTACGTTGCCACCGGCAGACGTCCCTGGTATCTCTGAATCTGCCAACATCTGCGTCCAATCTTCCAGCAAATCATTTCGCTGTGGACTCTACCCAGCCTTCGAGGCTTCACACAACTGCACACAATGTGATGTTTCCCTGATTGCTTGTCCTGCCTCGAACTAAAACCCCTCACACGGTGGCACGGGACTCCGGGTGTATCATGGTCTGGCCTTTGCCTTCTGACTCACAAAGCTCGGAAGGTGTTACTCTGGCGGGGCACCAGCTACTTTCCTGTGTCTGTGATTCAATACTGGGTTAAAAAGGAAGTCCCTGAAGAAAAGATTGGCTAACAGTTCCAGTGAGCTGGAGTCCATCATGGAGGGGAGGAGTTGGCCATGGTGGCAGGAGCAGGAAGCTGGGGATCACATTTCATCCCTACACAGGAAACAGAGAACAGGAAGTAAGGAAAGGATGTAAATCTCAAAGGATGCCCAGAGTGTCTAACTTCCACTAGCAGGGCTCCACCCAAGCAGGACCACCAACTAGGGACCAAGTGTTCAAATACATGAGCCTAAGGGGGACAGTCGTTACTAAATCCTGACAGATGTGTAGCTATAGTGACATGAGGCTAACTGTACCTGCTGCCCTAGTGCAATAAAATAGTGCCTCTTTTACCCTCTGATTAATAAATTATATCATCCACACACGAAAGCTAGAGAACAATTTTCTGGAGCTCATTTCTTCTCTTTAATTTTTTTTCTCTCTCTCTTTTGCCGCCTAATTTAGAGAATAAGCCTGGCCATAGTCTTAAGTAGTCTTTAAAGCCACTTGTTGGCTGATATTGCAAATCAGGATTCTCTGCGTTCATATGACTTGTGATGCCCCTCCTTCCCTGTCCCCCCACTTCTTGCCCCTCTCCAAGTCCTCCCATAGTTGAGAATCCCGGGGCCCTTTTGAATGTGCCTGTGGCAACATCTTACAGGAGTAAGCCTCGGTTAGACAAATGCACAGTACAGAGAGCAGGGATTACTGACATGGTTCCCTTCCTTTCTCAGCACAATCCACCACCCCACGGCAGGACACAGAGACGTTCTTGAATTCTGGACTACAGAGGACTCAGGTGACAGAATGGCAGTTCTCAAAGTCAAAATACTGTGCATTTTTCACTTAGGATATCTTTATTCCAAAAATATATGAAGCAATCTTTTGAAGAAGCATTATCTCCCCATAAGTGTTACCTTACCATCTTAAAGACAGAGGGGAAATGGCCACTTTAAAATAAAACAAGTATGATTTTGTGGGCAAGATAGGGTCACAGTAGTAACATGGTGTAGGGGTAGCAAGTGGGGATCTTCCTGAATATGACTCCTTCGGTGTTGGATCCCTAGAGTCATGTGTTCAAAGGAGCCACGAGGCTTAGTGTGTGCTCCAAAAGAGGGGATTTGATTGATTAGTGACATCTGCCTTCAGCATAAAGTTTAGAAAGTAGCTACATTGAGATCGGTGTATTAATTAAACCTGTCCATGAGCAAGTGGGTGTTTCAGAGAGTCTGCTAGGTTAATTAATGCTGGATTAGCAGGTTCAACTCCACGTTGCTGATCTCATAACTATGGCCTTGGAATGAAAAGTAATACTTCTTAATTTCTCCAGCTCAATCAGGAAGTAGTTCAGCCATGAGCGGCCAAGGGTATGCTCCTCTAGATAGTAAGTAGGACATTTAAATGCTGGTGAGAGCTACAATCTAGAGATAGAGCTCAGTGGATGCAACCCTTGGAAGGGTCTGAGTTTGGATCCTCCACACCTGCTAGCAAACCTGGACCATGGCATGCACCTGTGATCCCAGCACTAGGAAATAGGAGATAGCCAACCCCTGGAACTGACTGGCCAGCCAATCTAGCCAAATCAATGAACTCCAGATTCAGTGTGAAACCCTGTCTCAAAACATGGTGGAGAACAATCAAGACAAACATCCAGAGATGTGCTGTGGCCTCCACACAGATGCATACCATACAAGTAGACCCACATACACATGCACACACATATATCACACACACACACACACACACACACACACACACACATTAAAACAAATTAGGCTGAAAAAGGCTCAAAGAGAAAGGTTAAAAATACCCATCTTCTGCTTACTGGTTGTGGTCCAGATTATCCTTACATTTAACAACAACAAAACAAGCAAAAGATGATGCATTCCAACTCACAATAAAATGCCTGGCCCATTGTAACAGGCCATGTAAATGTTTCTAAACTCAAAAGTCACAGGCAAAAGGCAAGCTGTCACCCTTAACAAGGGAAGTCTAATTTTAAGACAGCTTGACTCCAGCTGGGTCTGTCACCGAATGAATTCAGCTTGTCCCTAGTGATGAGCATCAAGACCATGAAGGTCATCCAGTATCTGGGACATATGTGCTCTGTTTAGAATTTTCTGGGAGGGGCTGGATGAACCATGACAGCTGTGAGAGGCCTTCAGAGGACAGTCTACACGTGCTCATGCCACTAAAGACTGTTGCATGACCTGAGTCGCTGGCTCTGCATTTAAAACAGCTTGCTGCTAGCTTTGCCATCAAATGCAATTAGCCTCATTCATGAATTTGTTTCTTCTGTGTCTCCTGCTTCCTGGATATGAACCAGTTTGGATTCTTCATGAACAATGGGGTAGATAGCAAGACATATAAGAAGGAATACCTTCAGTTGCTCCTCCTTCCAACCTTCAAGCCTGGTGTTTTCAGAAACTGGCCACAATAAACAAAAGTGGCTAAGAATGCCTCTGAGCAGGCCACCAGCTATGCACTCCAGCTCACAATAAGACGCCGTGAACTCATTCAAAAGCCACACTTAATTAAAATTCAGACAGTTTCCCCCCAGATCAAACAACCAAAGCAGCATTTGTGTCTGTAAGGACTGCACCAAAGTATCCTTCCTGTTTGAACAGACCTTACACACTCCTGCTTCTCTGAGTGGCCCCAACTCCATGACACTTCATCCAAATGAATTATTCCTCAGTGACAAATTTTCAGTGTCAATCTATTTTAGCTTTCTCTAATCAGGTAAGTGTTAATTCAGGCCTCACAGACAAAATTATTCTTAATTTTAGAGACTACTAATAGTGACCTACCTGTCCTCATAGTTGATAGCGTTTTCTTAAACTGGGAAGCATTTGGAGGTATGTGTAGATTTTAAAATCTATATTGGGAATTTCTCTTCCCAGATACCACAGGCAATCAAACAAAAATTCAGCACCGGGGATGGGCTGCTTCCTTTAGAGTTGTTGGCTAGTGAGGTCATATAAAGCACCCCCCAAAATCAGTATAGGCTATTGCCATTGCTGTTGGCTACCTTCCAGAACTATATGATGAGAGTCTGTAGCTGAATATACTGCCTACTTGAGTCATACAACATGGGGAATCAAGATGGTACCAGTCTGCAAGCCTTGTCCCAACAGTAGCCCTCATAGTGTTGAAAGGGCCTCTACACATTGCTGGAGAGAAAAGTCACCATTGATTTTACTGAATGGGGGGTGTAAAAACTCTGGCAACTCTCACAGGTTTCTGAATGCCCAGTTGCCAAAAGCCAATTCTAAATCAGACACATAACGAACCTGAGACGTTTCTGGCAGTTCTTACCTGTGTTGTATCCTGCGGTTTCTCTGAAGCCATGATTCTGAACACTCAGTACACAACATGCTCGTTTTGAGGGCACACGCTGTCATGCTGTGCAGTGCCAGCGGACACTACCACACAGAAGAGGCCGGAAGAGGGCATCACACGCCCTGGAACTGGAGTTGCAAACAGGGAGCTTCCACTGGGCGCGTGGGTCCCTTGAAGAGCACCCAGTGTTCATCTCTGCTAAGCCATCTCCGGCTCCAACAGTTTTATTTTTAAAAGGATTGTTTGACTTGCTGACTTTTGCTCTTTTTAAACATTGAATTAATGTTGGCTTGATAAAGGGGCAGCTTGGTTCAAGGGTTTTTGGAATATAACAAAGTGCACATCGGCCTTTTGCATTACATATTTTTACAAACAGTATTCTCTGCACTGACAATTATAAAGGGGAAATATCAGCGAGCTCTGGGGAAAAACACAGAACACTCTGTCCTGGAGTGTCAAATATTCATACAAGATTTAATTCTTTATATAAAAATAAACAGGCACATCTATTTAATTTGTGTGCCAATTTGTCTTAGCCTATAATAAAAAGTATAATTATTATGATTATAAAATTATACAAAAGAATTGTTTTTAAATAAATTTATTTGACTAATTATCAGTAAATGAGTATCTTTTATTTTTATTGCCTTAGTTGCATTTCTTATTGTAATTTTAAAAAAAGCATAGAAGCCAGGCGGTGGTGGCAAACGCCTTTAATCCCAGCACTTGGGAGGCAGAGGCAGGCGGATCTCTGAGTTTGAGGTCAGTCTGGTCTATAAGAGCTAGTTCCAGGACAGCCTCCAAAGCCACAGAGAAACCTTATCTCAAAACAAACAAATAAATGAAAACCTTGGACAAGATCAACTTAAGGGAAAGGGTTTGTTTTGGCTTACAGAGTTCAGAGGGCTGCTGTTCATCTTGACGAGAGCTGTGAAGGCATGGTACAGATGTATGTGAAAAGACAAGTAAGACTTATTTGTGTAACTGTAACTTTCATCTCTGGCCTGGACTTAGAAATCACTTACATTGTCTGCTAGTGATGGTCCATGCTGGCTACTGTTGGGACGGGGCTTAGAGGCTGTGTGTAGATTTTCTTAGACTGCGTTCATTGAGCTTCGAAGACCATAAGTGGTACCGTCTAAGGGCTGAAGTCCCAGACTGAATGAAAAGAAAGAACTGAGCCAGGCATGAGCATCCGCATTCTCTGCTTCCTGGGCATGGATGTGCTGTGACCAGTCACCTCCTTCCTGCTCCTAAAGACTCTTACTCATCACGACTGATTGTATCTTGGGGGAACCTGGAGCCAAACTGTTCTTTGTTTACCCTGGCTTCTTCAGATACTCTGTTACAGCAGCAGTGAGGCGGTAACTAAGACAGTGCTGCAGCTCCCGGGTGAGGAGATAGGCAGGTGTACCACTGAGCTGTGGTACTGGTGCTCTTTCAGAGTCTCTCCATGGTGAGCAGGGCTGCAGCTCTTGAAACTACAGCTGCACCTGTGAGTGTGCAGGACTCTGCACTGCTGCACGCACTAAAACCTGCAACTAACGAGATGAGAAAAACGTGGCCTCCACCTGGTGTACCTGGACATACATAAACCGCTACAGAGTGGAGCTCATCCAAGATGTGATCTTCATGACTGTACAAAATGGAGGATGAGAGCCAGGCGTTGGTGGCACATGCCTTTAATCCAGCTCTAGGGAGGCAGAGGCAGGTGGATGTCTGTGAGTTCGAGGACAGCCTGGTCTACAAAGCGAGTTCCAGGACAGCCTCCAAGACAATACAGAGAAATCCTGTCTCAAAAAAAAAAACAAAAAAAATGGAGTATGGATAACACCAGTCTTGCATAAAGTGTGCACTCCCCAGACGAAGCATCCATGCCACTGCAGAGTGCCAGTTAAAATGCAACTTTGTGCCCAATATACCATGCAGGGCCAGACACTCCTGGGGCAGAGCCTGAGAACCTGCATCTTAAATAGGTTCCTGGAGATTCTAAGGCACCCTGAAACTCTCCTTGTGTCAAGCCCAAAGTGAATCTGGATGTTAGAAAATTCAACTCTTCTCCACCTCTGGAGTTAAAAGATAAATATCAAACATCATCAAACAAGCGTCCATGTGTATCCAATTTTGAGAAGCGTTCCGAGGTACTTAAGAGACAGGAGCGTCAAGGTTAGAATTCTTTCCTTCCTCCCTTCTTGTACCGTGTTCTTGTCTCCCAGCGCCAAGCAGAGGTCTTCACGTGCAATTATTTATACTGTTGAGTGCATCACATGAAATACGAGACATAAATTACTCATATGCAGCTGCTTGTCAGTTCTGAGCATGCACGTTTTCTACCTCTGTGTGAAGTTAGCCCTCATGCCCTCAGCAGCATCCATACAGGCAGGATATGAAGAGAGACCTGTCACCCTCAGTGAAGAGGGGTAGTAAAGTCAACTTGCCTTATGCAGCCTGTAGGGAAAAGGGACCAGTCAAAGAAACACACCCTGAGCAGAGCCAAAGAAACACACTTTGGCCCTGCAACCACAACCAAAGAAATGTACCCTGACCCTGAAACCAGTGCCAAAGGAACACACTTTGTCCCTGGAATCAGAGTCAGTGAAAGAAATGTACCCTGGCCCTAAAATTGGAGCCAAAAGGCTAAAAAGGACCAGAGAAAGAAACACACTTTGGCCTTGAAACCAGAGCCAAATCTGACCCTAATCCTGTGTAAAAAAGTAACCAATCCTGGAGCAGAGCTCTAGCCAATCTGAGCTCAGCACTGAAATCGGACCAATCCCTACTCTGGAAAAACTTCCCCAACCCCAGGAATCCCTATATAAACCCTGTGTATGTTCAGCTTGGCTGGTCCAGCTGCCTTCCAATAAACCCCTTTGGATGAGCTTCCAGTGAAGATCTTTTGCGGCTGCGACAGAGCAGAGGCGACCCTGGGCAGAGCAGAGCAGAGCAGAGCAAGCAGAGGTGACGCAGGGCAGGGCAGGGCAGGGCAGGGCAGGGCAGGGCAGGGCAGGGCAGGGCAGGGCAGGGCAGGGCAGGGCAGGGCAGGGCAGGGCAGGGCAGGGCAGGGCAGGGCAGGGCGAGCAGCGCTGTAACACTTGCCCGGGAAACCTTCCTTGGCAGAGCAGAGTTGTTACACTCTGCTCCCGCCCGGCTCCCTGCTCTCCACTCTCCAGGAGCAGAGCTGAACTGTAGCAACTTCGCCCGAGAAACCTCCTGCCTAGCAAAACTGCTACACTGTCCTACCGGAGCAGAGCTGATACACCGAGAAGCCTTTCTCTGAGGCAAGGCTGTAAGCTGCCAAGCTTACTGCAACCTCTGGTGGTCCTTGGCTCCCGAGCTCCAGGATACCTTTCTACCTGAGCTGTGTAACACTCAGAATCCTTGGCTCCTGAGCTCCAGGATACCTTTCCACCTGAGCTGTGTAACACTCAGTATTCTGTGACTCCCGAGTGCCAGAATACCTGACCCACTCCTGTTCCATCCTGTCCTGACCCATCCCGAAACGCTTACACAGCCTCTCCTTGCTGTTTCTCACACTAACCATGGTTTTTGTTTTTAAAAAAAATCTCCAAAAGGAAAATACAGAAGACAAGTCCGTTCCATAAGGAAGAGCTCATTTCTATGAGCAAAGACCAAATTCAAGATTGCTAGAAAGCTCCTGTTGCCTTTCACCTAAATCTCTGCCTCCGTGGCTGAAAGTGCTTGGCATACAAACATGAGGACCTGAGTTCAAGTCTCTAGAACCCACATAAAAGACAGATACATGATGTGGAAGTCTATAATCACGGTACTCCTGCAGGAGAGTAGGGGTGGAGGCAAGAGAATCCCCAGAAGCTCAGAAGCCAGCTAGCCTGGCGTGCACAGCACAAACATCTAGAGACCAGGTCTCAAACCAGGTAAGAGGCAAAGGTCAGTATCTGAGGCCGTCCCTTTATCCTCTGCACAGGTGCCATGGTTCATGTGTACCCACACTCACACACTAATGCACACGTACTCGCGCACACGTGCACACTCACACACTAAACACACAACGCACGCGCGCACACACACACACACACACACACACACGCATGCAAGCATGCGAGCAATTTTTAAAACTCGGACTCTGCCCTAAGTACCTGCTCTGTCCACTCCCAGCAGAGCGTGTACAAGTTCGTTCTCCGGAGGCGGGTAAAGGAGTCACCATGTTGCAGTTAGACATCAAGGAGGGTCTGTAAAACTCCAAAAACGAGACCCAAAGCAGTGCACAAGAGAACTGCAGGGTCTCGAGATAGGTTGGCTACCCGGTTATCCGAACCCCAGAGAAGCTTCGGCTTGCACATCCCGGAACCCCAGAGAAGCTTCAGCTCGCAGACTCCCACTCTCCAGAGAAGCCTCAGCTTGCACACCCCGGAACCCCAGAGAAGCCTCAGCTTGCACATCCCAGAACCCCAGAGAAGCCTCAGCTTGCACATCCCAGAACCCCAGAGAAGCTTCAGCTCGCAGACTCCCACTCTCCAGAGAAGCCTCAGCTTGCACACCCCCGCTCTCCAGAGAAGCCTCAGCTTGCACACCCCGGAACCCCAGAGAAGCCTCGGCTTGCACATCCCAGAACCCCAGAGAAGCTTCAGCTCGCAGACTCCCACTCTCCAGAGAAGCCTCAACTTGCACACCCCGCTCTCCAGAGGGGGTCGCACAGCTTAGAGGAAGGACACCAGGCTCAGAGAGGACCTGCCTCTTTCCCCTCAGGGTTTATCAGTGCCATAAGTGATCTGGAGAGTCCTTGTCCCTCCCTGCCTCTGAGCCACTGTGCAGGCTGCATAGTCCCAGTTGAGTCTCCCACATGCCGGAAGAGGCTGTCTTGTGACCCCTCTCCCCAGCAAACCCAGCTGGGGAAGTCACATTGTCATTATATAGCTTTTAGTGCCAGCTCTAAGATGGCAGCATATGTCCTTGGTCTAATTCTTTCTATTGTTGAGGACCAGAGCCTAGGGTCAAAAGGGTCTATGTATGGGCACACTCGTGTGTGTGTGTGTGTGTGTGTGTGTGTGTGTGTGTGTGTGTACATGCATGTGTGTGAATGGATGAGGTCAGAGAAGCACCTGGGGCAGCTTTGGTCTGTGTGTTCACTGCCCAGTGAAACAGCACAGTCTCCTGGGCACCGTAAATCCAAGTGTTTTAGAACATGTCATTTGTTCCAAAAGAGTGGGCCCTTGGCTCAGATAGCTGAATACCTTTACAATGAGACCACTGCCCTTGCTGTGGGGAGAACTCCCCTCATCACTCACCCTCTGTCATGGGGGGCTCAGAACAATCCTATGGGACTTCAGACTCTGTCATGGCCCTTCAGCCTCCCAAGTAGACTTCCATATATAAAAGGGAGCAAGCGTGTATTTCCTCTCATGGACCCACAGGGAGAGACTCAAAATGGTCCCTTGAAGAGAGGTGGGAAGAAAGAAAATTGCGGAAATGAAAATAAAACTGGCCCCCAGTATTGTTCAACTATTTCAGCAGAAGCTAAATTCAGGGTTTTTGCAGCTCCTAACAAATGAATCTTCAGAAAACAAAGCTCTCTCATGCCCTTTGCTCCTTTTGATCATTGTTTTTGTGATTGACAGGTAACTGAGTCTGGTTTTTCTGGGGCCAGAGCCTACAGGGCAGCTGTGGAGAGGGCTGTCCGAAGCATCATCAGCTTAGCCAGCCAGGCTGGGGTTCCTTAAGATCAGGCCAGATGCACTCTGCAAAGCAAAGCCACAGAGATGTGCTGCATGGCCAAGCTATTGGCAAGGGCCCAAGGGATGCTCTCTAGGCTCTCCTATGTTGGAGACCGAAAACTAGCAGGAGGCATTTTAAAGACACCGCAGAAAACTGTCTTTAAAACCCATCAAGAGACCTCTGAGGGCTGGCTATTATAATCCCCATGCCTTTCTATCTCCTATCAACTTTTGCTCCTGCCTACCCCCCTTGCCACCCCTCATGCGGAGTATACATGTACATAAGCGCAGGAATGCAGACACACGTGCACATGCACACATGTGCACGCTGGCCGTTAACTGGCGTGTACACACGTGCAGAAGCTCTGTGGACCCTTGCAAGGTAAAGAAGCTCAACTAAGCTAAAACAAGTGATGAATTAACGCACCCCACTCCTCGGCATCACCGCAGCGCCCTCATGTGATGCTGTGGTGCGTATTTCTCCAAGACCATGGCAGGAACTGAGAATGTCTTAAAACGCAATGCTGTCAGAACTCAAATATGGCTTTCTCTTGCCACCTGATCTTGAGAGGACCCATAAAATGAGAAATATAGCATGATGGCAAGGCCTTTGACACCCCAAGGTGAGTCTACAGTCACACAACCCTGAGCTGGGGACACAGTTCAGAACTGACAGAGGTCAAGTCTGAGTCAGTGTAGCCGTGGACTTCACTCTGCCCCTATAGACTGAGCAGACATCTGGGCTGCTGCAAGACTCCCCTACTAAAATCTGTGTTTACTTTAATCCAAGGCACCTCCAAATGGAGTACAGGGAGCACAAGCATCTGAAAATAATCCCCCAAAGCACTTGTGAGAATGTTGCAATTCTAGACATTGCTCTCTCCATGTTGTTACCGGAAGACAGGAGCCTGAATTTTAAGTTTCGTGCACAATGGAGCTTGAGCAACCATCATTATTTCTCCACATCTCCCAGGATTGGGCCTTGTATTCTGACACAGCCTTTCACCCTATTAGTCGCCAGGGCAACTTCAGGCCCTGTGGTGAGGGAGCACTTTAAGAACAGGTTCTTGGTGTCTCCTGTTTTCCTCACAGAGGCAACTCCACATGCGACCAGCACAAAGAGCCAGCCTCTGCTAACTTCATCTGCTCAGCCTATTTTCGTGCATCCCTGAAGCAGCACACGTTGGTAGGGGCAAAGAGGCTTCTGAAATGAAGGTTACCCGGAAACTCAGGCTTGCCCTTGGAAATGGAGAGATGCAGCGAGAACCAGTTCTCCTCCAGAGGGCGCCAACCCAGGTTGTAAGAGGAGAAAATGTTTAAAAACTCTCTGGTGTGCAAGCTTCCTAAATGGGAAATCTTGCTCAGGCTACTCCTTTTGCTTCTAATAGACAGTCTGTGTCTGCTTCAGGAAATTCATTGTTATAATTAATTTCAGAGAGAGATGATGTGAGCCGTAGAGATGAAGCCATGTAACACAAAAGCTGTTCTCATACTGTAGCTCCGGAAAGGGCTACCTCGTGGGGCCTGAAGAGCTCCGAGACTCCCCCAACTCCCTCTCATTCTCCTCTCTTCCTTAGCACTAGCCATCTTCTTTAAGGATCTCAGTGATATGAGGCATCTTTCTGTTTGTGGACTCAGACAAGCGTTGAAGGTCCTAATGAGAACGATGAGGCTGCTCTTAGGTTTCCACATTGGGACAGAGAAATGTGTAGACTTTTGTCTGCTTTGGGCTCAGAACATTGATTGTTCCTATCTTGGGCAAGGATTAGGATGAAACACATGTTGACTGTTATTGAACTGTCTTTCAGAGATATTTGGGGGTACAAGGTGTGGGAGGGAGAAGATCTTCCAGTAGCGAGAGCCCAAGCAGCAAGAGAACAAACTAACGGAGCATGGAGGCCCCGGATGTGGGCCGTGTCAGTAGTTCCTTCAGCTCACTCCCCACTTGCAATTGTACGACCTGAGTTCACAGGTTCACACGCTAAACACAACCCTGCCTCCCAGCTGTGGGAGGAGCCATGAGTAAGACTCAGCTAAGCTTCACAGCCTGGTAGACACAGCTGGTCCTTTCTAGTCTACCCTGGTGCTCCGCAGTTACACGCCTGGTTCACACCTGTGAGGTCTGTGCAAGACTTTAGATTTCCTCAATATCCCCCCATTTTTATACCCACCCCTCTCCCATCTCTTCCTCTCCGGGATTTCACATATGTCCTTTGAATGTTAGGACCTCTGAAAATATACAGAACGTGGTTCTGTGTGGATATTAAATTTTAATGTCCTCTGATAGTCTTCCTCATAAATCGCTCTCTGCTTCGTGCTCAGTGCTAGATTCTTTAGAGGGATCTGTATTACCGGTCATGAAGTCCACCGCAGAGAAAAATAACATGGAGAACATTAGAAAAACACTGATGCTAAGACCTCAATCCAGTGATGCTGGGTGAATTTGTCTGGGGTGGAGGCCAAACTCCTGGCCATTCTGCAGTTGGTCAGGATAGAGAGCCGTCGTGGTATATACAAATCCAGCCTCCAGGCTGTGGCTTCTCTAGCAGGAAGAGAATTCCAGGTCTACCTCTCTGCAGCCCCAGCAAAGCCATATGGCAAAATCAGGTGACAGTGACTCCTAAGACAGTAGCAGAGGGAAAAAAGAGGGGTGGCCTATGACCTAAGCAGTGTGTTAAGAAGGGGCAGGACCTGCCCTGCCCCCAGTAAGACGACGGGAGGGTCATCTCTCTGTTCACCTAATCGCCCAGGTATTATACCTACGTGTAAGGGATATGGCTGAAGAACATTAGCGTGGTGCCCAGTGCTCTCGGTTCTGATCACACAGCTTACCAGGCCATTTCCAGAGAGTCTAACGAGATAGTGCGGGGCTTGACTCGGGAATCTGTATCTGGAAAGAACGTAGCAGGGTATATTAGTCCAATGCATCCTTTGAGGAAAAATGGTGCAGCCCATTTAGGAAAATCAGAGTATTTTGAGCACATTTAGTAAACTTATCCCATTTCCCCCTCTGTAATTTTGGAGAAAACATCCTCTTTTCTTATGTGTCCCCAGGAATAATCACCGTGTTGATTAATGCATTTATTGTTCATTATTGACCAAATTACACAGTAGCTACAGAGGAATTATATATGTCCCTGCATGAGGTGGACCTCACCCTCTCATATGAGCGAAAAGACTGACATGCTGGCTTAATGTACCAGGGGTTTAACCCCATGCCCTTCTGTTTCTGAGTGGAAAATGCTCTATAGGGGTTCACCCGAGGTCCAGGACGGTCTTCAGTCACCCCCTTACCCCTTGGGATGCCCAATAGCACTTGTAACTGTCTCAGAAACAAAGGTGCTATTCCAATCCTAGTCATTGAACCCATTATCTGCTGGATGCCACATTCCTTCCACATGAGAAGGTAGAGAGGACGTCCTTACCAGGCAATAGTTGCTGGATGGCTGGTTAGAAAAACATAACTAAAGGTGGGAATCATTAAAAATGACGTATACATATTTGAAGCATTTCATCTTAATCAAAAATGTAAAACCACACATTCATGTGCTAGACCTTTGGGTGAGAGCCAAGGCATTCTTTGTTTTTATGTTCTCTGGACTTCAGTATCTTCTCCAACCTAACTATGCCTCCAACACAGAACCCAGGATTTCCAGTTGCCATTTTCCTTGTGTGGAGTTTATCTTCAGTTTCTGAAGCACTCTGTGTCTGTGAAAGTCCATTAAAATTCTATTCCAAGAATTTGTTACTCATTTTTGAAAATATTCTGAAATAAACCAT